CTTTATAAGCCTGTGCTGTCTTAAAATATCTATATCATTCTCTGCGTCCCTCACACAAATCCAAAAATACATTCATTCACAAGGTCATGATATTGTAAACACTGCATACATAAATTTCAAAGTATATTTAATAATTTACCAGCTCGATATTGTAAAAAGAGGATCAGCATCCCGCTAAAAAATCATCAAAGACATGAAGTGATGTTTGTTTTATTTGCCAGATAAATATGTAGGCCTCAGTTCAATGAGCACTTTTAACACTTCTTGTTTTGTTGTTTACAAAAAGTTGCAGTACAGACAGAAGCAGGATCACTTGTTTCACACATCCTGCGCAAAGGTAGCCCGAGTAAAGATGTGTTCAGCATGTAAAACCAGCTTTATGGGCTGGTGAATGGGCCTATCTGTTGCTAATTGATAGAAATAAATTGTAGCTAATCAATCAGTTTCAGGGTTTTAGCTCATGGAGCACAAAGAAATGCAGCTAATTGTTGATCACCTGCAAAACGGGGTCTGATATGACAACTAAATAACCACAGTGGCAGTGGGGTCCCCTTTACATGACACCACAAACATATAAGTGGTGGCTCCAGCCATGATGCACAATTCCTGTGCAGTGCTATTCTTTCATCTTTCCCTAGACAGATGTCCAGACAGACACTGCATATAAATAGGAACCTAACACAGGGCCTTTTCCACCAGCCCCGGTGCCAGCAGCTCTTATCAAAACAATACACCACAATACAATGACTGCACACATTACACAAACACAACACTCTGCCAGATCTTGGGGGAAGAAGGCATATTCAGATTGGGAAAAATAAAGATGCCAGCACTGGTTAATAGGCTAAATAATCTCCAGTGCCAAGCGGAGGCTATTTATAGACTAAATATCTCGCACTGACCGACGGTTTTAGGCTGCTATTCATACAGTATATGTGCTGTTTTTTTAAATGCCATCGATGTGAGGCCCGAGATCGAAGCACCCCCCTTAATATTTTCATCACTGCATGCAAATATGGTACCCTACCCATCACCAAATCAGCCCCGCTCCTGTTTTCATTAAGTCAGCCACGTACTGCAATAATAATTCGCATTATGTCTCAGTCATACAGGCTGATAACACAGTAAAGAGGCCTTTTCATAACTGACTACATCCCCCTATCTGCTCCTTTTCTCCAGCATCACTGACAGGTTTTCAAACCCCCCTCTTCCTCCCCATCCTCCTCCTCCTCCTCCTCTCCTCCGACTCCGCTCACCTTCCCTCTGCGGGGCTCCGAGCGCTCTCTCCGGGCTGAAGTACGACATGATCCCCGCCAGCGCTACCATCACCCAGCAGTGTGGCCGCATCGTCGCCGCGTCCGGAGCAACAACAACACCATCCGAGCGACGCCGCCGACTGTCGGTATCGGTGTCCTCCTCTCTCCCGTCACCCCCGCCACGGTCTGTGCCGTCTCCGGGCTCACGCTGTCTGTGTCTCCCCCCTCCGCTTTTCTCCTAATAATAAAGAGCGTCTCCTTGCCTTCCTTGTTGTGCTCTCCCCCCCTCACCACCTCCTCCTCCTCCTCCTCTCTCCTCCTCCTCCCCCTGCTCTAATCCGCAATTAAACACGGTGTGTGAGATGCTCTATTGTGCATCAGTCCGCCGCTCGGTGCACATACATTACCGCTGTGTCTGTTTTCAACAACCACCCCTATTTCTCCCCTCTCTCTCTCTCTCTCTCTCTCTCTC